AAGTTTAACAAACGGTTTTAAAGTTATTAAGTATAGTTTCATTTAATAATTTTCTTTCGAACTTTGTGATATTGAATGCGGTGGCATTTAATCATTTTCTTTCAAAGTTTGTGATATTAAATGCGGTGGCATTTGATAATTTTCTTTCGGACTTTGTGATATTCAGTGCGGAGGCACGAATAAGATAAAATCTGTGTAAACTCTTAGTGCGATAAAGTAACTTCGACTTTATCAATTTTACTCCTTGTGTACGCGTAGTTGATTTAGTGACTGTATATATATTTTTTCAGTGTTGTGTAATATACATTTCCCATAAATGGTAGTATTAAATGGTAGTATTAATATTGTGATAATTTCATTTATTCTAACCCCACACCATTTCAAACTGGCGCCTAACCGAGTGGCCAGAAACAGAAAAATGGCAGTTACCATGTCAGAAGAAATGTTGCAGCGAGTGATAAGCGCACAATCGAGCACACGGACGGACTTAGTGACCGGCAGCTTTGCCAGATTCAATGGAACACGGATTCCCGAAAAAGTAGAAGAATTCACAACTACCATCACCTTGTACCAAGACATTGAGTGCATCTCGGACGAGGATGCGCTAAGGGTGCTACCGCATATGCGGATCCGTGAACGCAACCCACGGACAACGAATAATACGTTCGATGAGCTGCTTCAAAGAGCTCGCGACGTAGAAGCTAACATTTCCGAGGCAGAAAAGGAAGAAAGTAATCCGGTGGAAAGACGGAAAACCTGCTCTTTTGCGGCAACATCGGACACACGGTGGATCGGAGGATATCGCAAACGCCAAGGAACAAAGCAGATCCTAAAAGAAGGAGGAGCCAGAAACTCGCAGCAAAGCGAGAACCTCCTATTATGGTTGCGGCATGGCAGGGGTTATCCGCGGCAAGTGCCCGGTCTGCTCTCCCCCAACATCTGCACAGGCAGCAACTACGCAAAGATATGTATTCTTCAGCCTGACCACACAAGAGCCAGGAAAATGCAGCTACTGCAAGAAGAAGGGTCACTTGAAAGAATTCTGCCCTAAGTGCCTGGCCTGAAAAAAAGGGTGATCTCATATGAAACCGTCAACCAAAAGACACCGCGGTTCAAGAACATTGCTCCAGACCCGTCATTAAGGCACAAGTCCAAGGCGTAATGGGTTACGCACTTGTGGACACCGGCGCAGAAAAGAGCATCGCGGGAGAAACGTTTTAACAGCCTACTGCAGTCAACAAACCATCAATTCGAACCATCAATGATGACGATGACAATAGCTGATGGGGAGACGAAGCTTCGACCCATACTAAAGACGACGACCATTTTGCGGCAGGATGACAGACCAGTGCCAACGGAATTTGTCGTGATGCCGGATGCAAAAGGAAACTACAGCCTGCTAGACATGGATTTCTTGCAGAAAGCCGGTCTTGTGCTGGATATGAAGCACCGCACGTGCAACTTTTCAGACCAGACGCAAAAGTACCCTTTCCCAGATTTAGAAACAACCTTTACTAGTAATTTATTCAAACTTAAAAAAAAGGAATTGCAACATCACCATCTAATGATACATGTGAACGTATGCATAAGGATCTTATCCAAAATATTAGTTCATATATAAACAGCAAACAAACAAATTGACCCAATATATTAAATATGTAATTTTTATTCACAATTTACGTGCCACCGTACATAAATCGACAAATTATACACCTTCTGAATTACAATTTTGGGGAAAAAATCTAATTACCTTTATTTGTCAGTAAAAGTAGCGATATACAAAACAATTACGATATATACACAAATCTAAATTACTACAGGCAAATTTAAATGCATGGATAATACTGGGTAGAAATTTATAGATTTGTATCCTAGATTCCAAATAGACAATACATAGTTACGACAACTTATTAAAAGTTATTCATGTTTCAAACAAAACTATTCTTGCTTACTTTCTGCAAATTATTAAAATTTGATTAACGTTTGTAAATCTGATTCATCCCTTTACCCCTGATTCCTCATCCTGCATAGGGATGGCGACTGAAATCGATTTTTGGAGCCAACAAGATCGATTTTTTAAATCGATATGTAGTACTGAATCAATTCGTTGAATCGATATTTCACCCTTGAAAATCGACATTCGATTTGTTTTGGTATAAACCATAAAACTATTTACAATTAATTGAACGTATCCGTATCATAAGAGTGCTGCCGGTTAAAGAATTAATTATTCAAAAACTTGCGAGATGTTCAGATTCCTTCACATGTCTTGAATAAAAAAAAGTTACGTTTGTAATCTTTGACTTTTCTTTCTTTGTATCTGAGTTGCATCATGCCACCATAATTTATTTTTGGTATTTATTTTATTTGTTTATTGTTGATTGATTGAATGATTCTCGTAAAGCGATAAATATTAATTTTTATGTACTGTTTGTTGCGGAATAATAACTAATTGAACCTAAGTAGGTAAGTAAAGCGCTTTATTTTGTTTTCTGCTTTCGTGCTGTTATTTTCAGTTTAATCTATTAGTTGTGATCATTAAATCTAACCATGTATGTAATTCATTTACCTTTAGATACGAATAATCAATATTGGGCATTGAAATAACTGTCATATGTAGAAGTATGCATACTTACTTCTACTATTATGTCCATTTAAATATATAACCTCAAATTGTTTATTTTGTTTACATAGAAGGTAATAGTAAAGCCCTAATTATCTTTTTAAAATAAACTACCAAAATTCCTTGAATCTTGTTTTTATCAAGTACAATCGGTCTGCGATCACCTACAATACGTACCTATTTGGCAGGTAAGAACTAAAAAGATCGATTTTTAAATCAAATCAAATAATCGAATTATAACCTGATAAACCTATAAAAGTTTTTTTTACAAAAAAACTATTAGTTCTATTTAATTATTTATTTATTTAAATGTTTTACTAATCTTTCATATAAAGTCTTCTTTTAAATTGTTTAGGATTGATGCTAATGGGATTTTAATGTTACATAAAACTAGTAGATAACTAATTACTAAAATTTCGTTTTTTATCAAATTTAATAAAGAAAAAAATTATTTTTACAGCATGTCGGGTAAAAGTGATATTTGGAATCATTTCATAAAAAAAGACTCTGGAGGCAGGCAAATGCAAATATTGTCACCAGGAAGTAAAAACTAAGGGAAACACAACAAACCTACGTAATCATCAATTCAGACCGTAAGTCTCAAAAAGAAGAGTGAAAGTGGTGGCAATTGTGGTAATGCACGAAATGGTGATAGACAAGTGAGTAGAGTGGAGCCTGTATTTCTCATATCACATCCTTCGTTTTCCAATGTACTGAGTTTGAACAAAATAAAAATTAA